TCAAGGACTTGTTTTTACGTGGGAGAAGTTAAACATCTTCATTTCATATTTAGCGAAAGTCACTAGCTGCTATTATTTATAAATAACTGATAGTCAAATGATACTTTTCTGACTGGTTTTTTGCTCCAATTCTGCTTGCATCTTATTTAAGGCAGTTTTTGGTAAAACAGTCAGTTATTCAGGGTACGGTATAGTTCTGGCTTTTCTGCTTCACCACACCTTCCATTTAGAGATCACTCATCGTTATTGTGATTCAGGCATGTGTTGGTTTTGGAAAAGATTTTTCATTCCTGTCACAGACTATGAAAGAAGGCTTAAACGATGATGACAACTTGGTCTTACTGCACAAAACCTTTTCCACAGATGCAACTCTAAATCACTGATTGCTGTTCCCAAAACTGGCCAAACACACAGAAGGGCTGTGACAATATATTAAATACCGCCTTATGTCATCTGCAAACATGAGATAATATGAACAGAAAGATTGTATTAGTCTTCTTCAAATGTTAAAAATATTGTAGAAATAGAGCTGTGTAGTATTAAAACTTATTATATTTAGTAGAATTAAAAAGTTAGCAATAGGCTTTTGGTGTACAGGTTCTGGCCCTTTTTTTCTGTTATAGCTAACCTCAATTCTCCCATTGCAAGAATTCAACCCTAAAGCACAAAGTTCACTTCTAGATCATGTTCTATAATGCTCTTTGAAATTGTTTGTTTATATCTTGCTCTCTATCGTCTGTTTTATTTTATGTATGTTTGTTTGGAAAAGCAAAAGAGAACACAAGGGAAAATACAGAACTGCTGCATAATCCGTGCTCAAAGATTTCAAAATAAGAGCATTAAAATAAATATTGACTACTTGTAAAATTCTTAACACTTGATAACCTAAATTTCATCACAGATGTCAAGTAAATTAGAGCAGAAACAGGGACAACACCGGTCCACTACTTCCTTTGGAGAAGGAAGATGAAGTTCCCAGATAGAACCAATGTATGACATCAGACTCCATAAATCTCGGATCTTCTTGCTGCAAGGCAAAAACATTGCCAACTGCAGCAGTATGCAGTTCACTCTATTAAATATGTTTCTCCGTTTTATTTTTGCTGCCTAACATCTCACATTTTGACAGGAGCTAACACAATCCTAGTAGTAAATCACCTTGTTGGTTGTCGTTGTGTGTTCGTAACCCAGGAGTAAGTGTCACAGTTGTTCTTGCACACCATTAGTGTTCAAACAGCTGAGGTCAAAACCCAAGTCCTCCCTGAAGTTAAACACCTCCGCTCTAACTGGAATCCACAAGAGCAGATCCTTTTTTACTCATTTCAAACACAAACATGTGTTTCAGGCCTCTACACCCACCAGTCACTTAATTTTTATTACAAACACATGTGGAGTGTTAAGAGATTTACACATATTTCACCTTATGATAAAAATAGCATCACAACAACACTGAACTATTAAATGGTTTCAGATGTATAATATTGTGAAAAGCTAAAAATAAAAAAAAAAATTTAAAAAAAATGAAAATAGAAAAAAATGAAATCCAGATTGACAACCAGTCCCTGTTTCTGTTGCTTGAGAAACCACTAAGAGGTGTGGCTGCTTCACTGCAACAAGTTTCTTTAAATTTTGTTACCACCCAAAATATTTTCCTTGACAGAATTTGTAGGACAAAGGCCTGAGGCCAGACAGCCAACATCATTTTCTGAAGTGCTAATTAACAAGAAAGAAGAAACGCCAGGCAGGTCAGATGAAACCTAAAACGATCGGAAAACCTGGAGATGATTAAAGGGATTGAATCATTGAGTTCAATTACAGGGCAAGAGTTTTCCTGACAAGATTGAGGCCCAGTTCTCTATTCAGAAGCAGAACAGGGTTTCAGGCAACATTGCCATGTGAGTTGTCAGTCAACTGTGTATAAAAACTAAATTAGGGGTAGCTATTAGAGACTTTTTATTTATTAAAATAAAGATAAAAATATCATAATACCCTAGAAACTTTTGTCATGTCCTTCATGGAGATAACATGCTAAATGCAGGCCAACGACTGGGGCAGGTGACTCAGGTAGAAATGTATGAACATTACACAGCTCTGTGTGTAATAGATAATATGCTACATCAAAAATCTATATGAGCAAATCAAACAAGTACTGTGTTTTAGATTAGGCTAATCTAGAGCTTCCTTTTGCTGCCAAAAATAAATAAATATCTACACCAAGAAAATAAAAAATAAAAAAATAAAAAAACTCAAAAAATACATGGCTAACATGCAAAAGCCATTTTGTTTTATAACCATTTGGTGTTTTATAATAACTGGATTTTTTTTGTTTTTATTTTGTAAAGCATTTCAAACTGCCTTGCTGCTGAAATGAGCTCTACAAATAAACTTTGATATCTACAAAGATTCACATATCTATTTCCCCACATATTAATACATCTTTGTTCTTTATATTAAAATATTGTGTTTGACTTGCTGCCATGCAAGTTAAATGATTATTTATTTGGCAAGTAATTCTTTTTTTAGCCTCTGTTTCTGGATTTCCAGTCAAAATGCTCCAGAAGGTGGCAGAAACTCACATTATTGACATCTACAGTCTAAAGAAAAGCATCATGAGCATGGCTAAAGCAGTGTCAGCCCCTCTGCTGATGTTTACTGAAAACATTCAGGTCAAACTCAGAGGTCAAAAACAAAATAGAAAAAAAGAGTCCACTGTTATTGTAGCATAGAAAGTCATTTCAGGCATGTAGAAAGTAATCTGCTGCATCACTGTTTATAAAAATATGCAAATTGTAAGTAAATAAGATAAGTGTAAAAATATGTCCCTGTTTGTCCATCATAAAATTATAGAAGAGATGTACAATTACAGTGGAAAATATATCTTAATGCAGAGAACCACAGTGTCTTTATGGGCATATTATCATAAATTATACTGCAAGCTATAGGTATAACTAAATAGTGATCCACTAATCAGCTGACCAGTTATCAAAATTAGACATTTTTTCCCTCAGGCATCTCAAACTGGTAAAAGGAAGTCTGATGTACTTTCCTGTGTAACACATCAAAACTAAGAATTTCCACTTTTTTCAGTCTACAAACGCATCAAAAAAAAAATAAATGGCCTTTTATGCATTTTTATTTTAAGTTTAGTAAAAGAAAGTCAAACAATAGTTACAGATATATGTTTAGAAACATAAATAGTTATGTGTATTTACTTCAAAAATGTATATTATTAACATTTAAATATTGGCAAAAGATTATAGTTTTTTCTTTCATTTTTTTGTACTGATTTTTGAGCAAACTTTAGGATTTCTATTTGAAGAAAGCTCTCAACAGCAGCCCAGTTTGGTGGTGGATGTGTTTCTTCTGATCAAGCGTTCCCTCCTTCTCAGCCAGACAGCAGGTTAGAGGTCCAAAGTGACACAGCAGTGGTAATTACTCCTCCTCTGTTCATGTGAACGCAGCTAGACTTTTGTCAGGCTGTGCCAAGTCAAATGGCACAGACACGCCATAAATCAAAGAGCCTTGCTGCTAAATACACAACACTGCAGGTTCACATCAAAGGAATGTTCCCCGCCTATCGCAAAGGCTTCTGGGACACAGCCAGACACGCCCCAGTTTTAACACTCATCCTTGCAACAGTAGGAGTTCCTGTGATTGTGAGCAAAGCGCGGCTCAGTGTGTGAATGTGGAGTAAGGAAGGTGAGGCTGCACAGTCAGCTCTGAAGTCTCAAACAAAGACGATGCACGACTCTCCCACCTCAGAGTCATGTTCTGTATCCACCAAATGCTTTCTTTGGAATTTTATGTCATGCAAAAGTTCACTTATGCTCCTACAGACCCGGACGTGTGGCTCATACTCACTTCCCGTCTAACTTCTTAACAATTCATTTAACTATTACGTAGAACAGATTTGTTGTAGAGTGATTTCCTTTTCAAATAATCTTTTACATTTAGAGGTTGGGCAGCATTTTAATATCAGACTGGATTAGCTCTCCACCCCCTGAGATCATGCTGACTGATACAGTCACTCTGAGTAATTCCAGGGTAAATTTCAACCGTTAGCTGTTTGGTTTCATGGGAGTGGCAAGTAAATATTTGTGTAATATCTCTTCCCAACTTCATTTGAAATTTAATTTGTTTCTCATTCCCCGCGACTCGACGCCAGAGAAGAGGAAGAAAATGGATGAATGGATATCACAGTTCCATTTCTCAGAGCTGCAGGGGTTCAGACACAGAGTAGAAAAAGAGACTCTTTCAGTTTCTGTTTTCAATGACCGGATTGATTTTCTTTTAAAAATAAGCTACATTCGACTTGTTGCAACAAGCTGCTGGATCATTTATCTGCAGGACTGCAGAGCGCTCCTGAGCTCATTAACCTGAAGTGTCTCTTGGTGCAGTTTCAACTTGTAGCAGAGCTGATGTTGGTGTCAGACTCTTCTCAGAGTTGAAATCAAGTGTGCATTGAAATGATCCTCCAAATGTTTAGCATTTATAACCCGGTTTTATGAAAACAGTTAAGAAAAAAAACTCTGCAACTTAAAGTTGAGATTAAAATTAAACTTTAGACACACCCTTTATTTAGGTGTGTCTGAATAAATTGGAAAACCTTTGAAAAGTTCATTTATTTTAGTAACATGCCATCGTAGTCATTTATTTATATTTAATCCTAATGATTCTGACTGGTAAAATTCTAAATTTATTTATTTTTATTTTCATTTATTTTTATTTTCATTTATTTTATTTTCAAAATGTATTTTCATTTGATAAGAGCACACGTCAAATCTAAACCTGTCGTAATAATTAATCAATCTCATGACAAATTGAAATAAGCTCTAATAATTTCCATTCTTGTGATTAATATTTTTAGAACTGCAATTTTGTTTGTTTATCGCAATAATTTCTGGAACAATTTATTGCCCAGAAAAAATAAAATAAAAATAAATCAGGCGTTGCAGTACGGTTCATGGTGCATTTTCATGTTTATGTGTTAGGCTGCTCACCTCCTGCTCCACCACGCTTGCCTCGCTCTTGTTGGGACTGGACGCCTGGCTGAACACTGAATGGCTGCTTTGAGCGTCGGTCTGAAACAAACAACCAGAAAAGAAGACAGAAGAGAATCAGACTCTGTCAGAAAATAGGACTTTACTGGTTTCTAATGTAAAAAGAATACCCAAAGGCATTGCTAACAAAAGCAGCTAGGTTTAGTTGTGACTCACACAAGTAAACCTTAATTTAATTAATGTTATCATACAGTAAAAATTAATGGGCTATGACATGAGATAGATCATTGATTTTATTGTAATTCCTTGAGGTTAAGAAGTAAATATGCAAACAGAAGAGGTCAATATTAAAATAAGTATGATCTGATCCCGTCTGTTGATGAGGTTAAGCCTGCAGCTTTTAAAAACCTCCAAAAAGAAATAAAATGCTTGCAGGAGAAAGCTGTTCAACATTTTATTCATGACTTAAAATAAAAACATATCAAACCAATGACAACACTGTAATAAAGCACAGACTTTGGTGTTTACAGTCAGTGAAGCAGGTGTCAATGCCAGTCTTTCTACCCTGATGTCACTCTGAAGGTATGAGCAAAACAAAAAGCCAGCTGTAAGCCAGAATTATCTCCTGATACGACATGACAAGATATGATATACCATTCCTGTAGCCTTAAGTCTCCAGTACAGTAGGGATGGACCGTAAGTCTAAAAAACTTACCACCACATATGTCAATAATTATTCATATTGACTAATATTACCAAACATTTTTGGTTTTAAATATCTGAAATACTGCCAAACTGGTGTGACCTTTCTTGTTTGACCACAGTTTTCATTTCTTTTTATTTTTAAGTGGTTATGGGGGACTCAAATTGATGCTGCATGAAAAAGAGTGAGTGAGTTAGTTGGAGGCCTTCATTCCCCAAAATGCCTTGTGATTCTGGATCAAAACGTAGTGAAATTATTAAATATTTTATAAGGCACATAAGAATATTTTACATTTAAGAATATTTTATAAGACCTATTGATCACATCTTTATTGCTATATCTTGCTTTTTCTTGATTTATTGTCCTGCCTTCCCTACCGGATTTTTTTTGTTTTGTTTAGATTAGCTAACTATAATCCACATATTTATCATCTACTGTATATAAATTATTCTATTCTAAATAATTATATCATGCATGTTATTATATTATGTATGTACTTGGCTTGACTCGTTAAAAGGGGAAATAAAAACCATTTCTTTTATTTTTTCTTACACGGGACATACGATGTCAGATTTGATTCGAACAGTGAGCGTGTCCTTAAAAACTAAATTCAGGGGCGTACTGTGGTGGCATAGGGGATAACGCGACCCACATTTGGAGGCCTCGAGTCCTTGACACTGCTGTCGCAGGTTCGACTCCCAGACCCGACAATATTTGCCGCATGTCTTTCCCTCCTTTCTTGTCAGCCTACTTTCATATGAGTAGGCTAAAGGAGGAAAAAAAAAACTAAATTCAGACAGAACATTATGTAGCATGCTAAAACTCTGCATGTCAAAGAGAAAGGAGCTGAACACACAGAAAGCAGATTTCACTGCAAGTTGCACATGTTACTAATTATTAAAAAAAGCACCTCAAATATCTTGATAACAGTTTACTGCACTGAAAATCAAACTTAAGCAAATCAGTAACTAAGTAGAAAGCCAAGTTATGCATAATGGCAAAAGAGGAAGACACAGAGAAGCTGATATGAGTCAAATGTTTTACAGCTGGAGTCTTCAGTAAACCTCTGAAATCATGAGCGAAGTAATAAGTTAACAGGCAGGACCTTAGATTCAGGACCAGACTGGAGCCATTAACAAGCAGAAACTCAGAGACAATCGGCAGCATAATCAATGAGAGTTTGTATTAATGAAGTAGCATTATACTGCAGGGAGGGACAGAATGTTAAAAGGCATTTCAGAACTCTTTCTGCTTCTGCAGTGTTCGCCTTACAAAATTATCAGGATAATTAAAAGGAAGGCAATCTCCTGTTTGTTTTTCAATGGAGGTGTCCTAACAAAAGTATCTTATATGACAAACCACCAGAAAGAAGCACATGATTGCAAATCAGAAGGAGGTTGGTGAATGTTTGATTGCTTACAAACAAAAATGAAAATTAAGGTATCCAAATATACTCCGTCAGCTTAAACCCCTAAAAGATTCCTGTGCAACCAATGCATTGAGGAGACACCTAATGCAACATTAGTTGCTACACCAACCAAAATCTTAGCAAAAGCTTATGCTAATGTACTAAATTCAACCATGTTGCTGATGAACATAATGTCAGTAACAAAATGTGGGACAGTACATCTGTCTTAACCGGGTCAAATTTATTTCACGCCTACCTGCATGATGTACTGCATTAACGGTGTTCCCCGGATTCAAAATAAGAGCATGAATATAAACATCTTAACTACTTAAGGAATTCTTAACACTTCATAACCAAAACTTCATAACAGATGTCTAACATTATTTAACTGAAAGTTTACAAAATAGCAAAGTAAATTACCAACTCCAAAGTCAACAAAGGTTAAAGCGCTAAACAAAAAATTAGCACCCTATTAATGCAGTTTCAAAAGTACACACCGCTGCTACTGATTATTTGAAAATGGAAAGAGGGCAGAAAGAAAATGCAAGGCACGCAGATTAATTAAAGAAGCAGACCAAAGATGCATGCCAACTCTGGAGATGCTGCAGAGATAATTAGATCAGTCAACAGATTCTTCAGCTATTAGCTGGGACTCCAAAAATCTGGCCTTTATTGAAATGTGGCAAGCAAAAACCTGTTCAAAGTTTGCTTAAAGCCATGTGGACACCTTTGTCCACATAAAACAAGTTTGAAAGGTGGATACTAATGTCCTGGAAGCCATGACTGCAGTAAAGTAGTTGTCCACATAAAACATGTGGACAAAGGTGGTCTGGTGAAATGTTGAATACTACAGAACCATTACAGGACATTCCTTGGGAAAATGTCCTGTAGAAGTGAGTGGAAGTGGAGTGGCAGGATAAGCCTCTAAACATCCAACCAAAAATACAATGCAACGGCTTAGATTCAAACAAAGCCATGTCATGTTCTTAAATCTTAAAGAAGCATAGTATGTCTTTTAACAATCCCTCATTTATGAGTTATGAAACCCGGAAGTTCAAACCTGGAAGGTTCACACTCTGAGTTTGATTTACATGCAAATTAGCAAAACATCTGCAGGTATGCAGAACTTTACGTCATCTGCTTTCTGTTCATCGTATTCCTGACAGATACTCTAGGCTGTGAAAAGTCAGAGGCTGGTGTGAGAACTGAGAACCTGGTGCCACATAACACACATTCCCACAGCCTGTCTGAGGCCTCAGCCCTGCACCGCATTTCTCTTCCCTGACATCTGTGACGGATCATGACTGGCAAATTAATAAACGGAGATGTCTGACAGCTCAGTGTGAACCCAAACTGATTTATGAAAATAAACAAAGAGGTCAAGTTGGAGTTAGGCCTGACTTTTTTATGCTCAAATATGAACTTTAAATCATAAACAAAAACTGAAAGTTTTATAAAATGACTAATATTAGCCCGAATGTTTTAAAGTTTTAAGAGAAACATCTTATTTTCTAGTGATTCTCTTAGAGGTAGAAAGATGAAAGCGGTCACCTCAGTTATGAAATGCTGTTGTTGCTGTTGTTGTTGCTGCTGTTGCTGCTGCTGCTGGTAGATAATTTCAGTCCCCTGGTTGCTGATGCTGCTCACACGGGGCAGAGTCTGCAGGTACATCGGCTGCACCACCGGCTGCACCATCGGCTGCATCACGGCCTGCTGCATCACGGGCTGCTGCATGAACATGTAGTTCTGCTGGGGCATGGCCTGCTGCACCGGAACCAGGTACCTCATTGTCCCGTAGGAGCCGTTCATCGCGGTAACCGGCAGCGTCGTGACATTGGAGACCGAAGACAACTGGATCGGTGAAACCGGAGACACCGGGGAGACCTGAGGCAGCGGAGACGCAGGAGACACCGACCTGGTCGAGAACACCTGTGTGGTCACCGGTTCGGCTTTCACCGTTTTGTAAGTGTGAAACTTCTGGGTCGACTGGACCACCGGTTCGGCTGTCACCGTTTTGTAGGTTTGAAACTTCTGGGTCGACTGGACCACCGGTTCGGAAGTCATCGTTTTGTAGGTTTGAAACTTCTGGGTCGACTGGACCACCGGTTCGGCTGTCACCGTTTTGTAGGTGTGAAACTTCTGGGTCGTGTGGTGAGACATGTTGACTCACAAGGTTGGAGCAGAGCAGCTCAGCCCGAAAGCAAAACAACCGAAGCTGTCGCGAAAAAATAAAAAGTTTGGGCGAGTCCACGAAGTGAGAAAAAAACACGCAGGATTCTAAAGAGATCCTCCGTGGAGTTTCTCTGGCTGCAAACTGGAGATTCGCCACCGACTGATTTCCTCCTCAGCTGGGAAGACTGGGTAGGAAAGTCCGGTTGGAGGAGTGACTTGTTTGTGAAGGATAACCTGAAACATGAGGGAGGAGCTCTGCTGCTCTGCATGCAAATAGTCGGGAATGCGGGAGGAGGGTTCAGAAAATACACTTTACGGTGGAGCTCAGCGCGCGACTTCAGGCATGTCGGCCTGATTACTGGCAACGCCCTGCAGCTCTCTAATGAAGACTATTATTAAAAGAAAACAACAACAACAAAAAGGCTAGGCACATTTCCTCTTACATGTATGCTACTTTACTTCACACTGTTTCCTTCAAGCCCAAAGGTAAAATAGCGAACTCACTTTAAAAGCCATAAACAGAAGCTGCACATTTCAGCGGAGGTGGAAAAACAAACATGTATTATCTGATTCAGCCGCCAGGTGGAGACAAACACCGGCTGCTGAAAAATCTAACTTTATTTTGTAAATAAGGGCACTTTAATTCAAAGTTGGCACTTTTGGTGGACTTTCAATGCAACTTTTGATAAATTTTGTATTAAAAGTTTCATTATTTACCGAATGACACTTCATGACGACATTCATAGACCTTCATAAAGACTCACTCCTTCATGTTCATTGAAGATGTTAGTCAGTCTTATGCACAACCCGTCAAATAAAGTGTTACCAAATGTTTTAGTTGTTTCTCCAATTTATCGTCAACTTGCTGATTTTAGTGAATGACAGGCTTTTGATGAACTGCAATCAGGGCAATGTGCCTTTAGGACCAGGGTTGGGAAACACCTAAAGTGAACTGCACATTTGTTCACATTAGTTAGCCCATGACCTGACCAGACGTTTATTTTGACAATTGATTAGTAGGTAAGCCACTGCAAAACGTTCATTAACGGTGCTAACAATACAAGGGTGAAACTTTGTATTGCAAGCTGGTGGGGACGAAGAGGAGCGGGGACGAGTGGATGAGTGTGTTTATTGTGTTTTTGAGTTAAGACATATTTAATTAAGAAACCAGAGGTGGGGCAAGTAACCCACATTTTAAAAAGAAAAAGGTTTGTTGCAGTGTACAGGCTTACCTTGTGTAAAATCAGATGTCATCATTAGACCCTACAAACCTTTGTAATCCAAAGGCATATTGGAGTTTCACTTCTTGGATCTGGTTTATTAGGGCTTTTATTTCTTCTTTTACTTTCTTGTTTTCATTTATTGCCATGTCCAGGCCAGCTGGTTCTGACACAAGCCAGAACCTTTATTTGAATCATGCAGCTGATTCAAATTAAGATTAATCGTGAATAATAATTATCAAGGGGGCAATCATTATTAGGGATGGATATGTTTGTCTTGGTTATTATCTGATATTGAACTCTGTGGAGGAACAGTAGAAAGTCGAAAGTCTGGAGCTGCGCCCACCGGGATGACATCATCAGGGGTCATCCCGCACAGGCGATGCAGAAGTTCATCGCCTGTTGTCAGGGGTCATTAGAGGTTATTTGAGGTTGTTCAGACCTGGCGAGAATGTTTCAGGTCAAGACACTGCAGTCCCAAATATTTAAAAATGACTTTTCTAGCTGTATTTCACATTCTGCAGGATGTTAGTGACTTCTTTATAATGTTTTGTACTTTGCTACTTTTTCTGATCCTTATTTTACTTTATGGTATGTTCAAATCAGAGTAGAATAGGACCAGCATATTGTTTAATTGTCATATGTGGTGAAATCCAGCAGTACCAGCTGCATGTTAAGGGCTAGTCAGGCAATAATCAGGCTTCTTCTGTAAGGCATGTAACTGATTAAAATAAAGATTATTCATAATTAATTAGCAATGAGCAATCATGATTAGGGCTGGATATGTTTGTCTAGGTTATTGTCTGATATTGAAGGTCTTTTAATTACATGAAACATTATATGTAACAAAAAAAAGAAAGAAATTCGTAAGGAAAATATTTTTAGAACACTTTGGACGCATAAACCTGTTTCTGTTTAAAATACCGTCTGAATTAAAAGATATATTTGTAATGTTTTTTTAATAATTAATACCCTACGTCTTTAGTGCGGAGCAGATCTCGCGACTCCCTCGGCAGACAGCTAAAAAGACACGCATACGTTTATTTCTCTCGCGATGTTCAGCGAGACCAACCAAACCTGCAGCGCATGAGAAAGCTCTTCAGTCTGAAAACACAATAATGGCTGCCGCCCAGCTGCTTTGTTGTGTTACTAGCCTACGACTGGAAACCGGCGTATTAACGACTTCTGCGTCTTTGCTTTGATACATTTGTTACTTCAGGTGAGAGAGAATTATGCAAGATGGTCCAATGATGCCTTTTTCAGACATATTTACCGACTAAATGTTTGATGTACTCTGCTTTTCGGCAAAACGTTGCGGAGGTTCCGCTATTCTCTGCGCAAACCAATAACGAAATTGCGCTCAACAACGACTATTTTCAACATAAATGGGCAGTTGCCGTCGATCTTGTGCGGCGTTGGCAATTAATGTTCATTTTTGAGAGGGTTAGAATATAATTTTCGAGTCTAGTTATCCCGTCGATGCCCAAGAACGAGTTTTAAATCGGATTTTTCTTCGAAGAAGTGAACAGTTGACAATATTTTTAAACAACTCTCATCTCTGCTGCATTAGATAGAATAAAATAAACGGAAATTTAACGAGAAGGGGAGCACTAACAGCAATGCTTCTTCTAGCTGTTTTTTGAATAAAACGTCTTTAATTTGAGGTGCACGTGTGTAAATGAAAGCCTGGCTGCAGTGATCCTGTTTTATAACTTAATTATCGGCACCAGCTTCCCCTGCCATGTCACGCTTTATTGGATCTTCTGCCCTCTGCAATCTGAGTTGCTGTCTCATTGTTGGCTCCACGCAATGTTATGCAAGAAATGTGCCACCCTTTCCTTCACATACAATTTCTGAAAGAATGGACCCGCTTGGAAATAATTTGGCCCGCATGAAGGCAGGTGATTGGTTTGTGAGGCGAATTTTAGATGCAGATGCTGGATCTCTGCACAATTCTACCCTGAAATATTTGACAGAAGTTACAGTCACACTACACATTATTTACTCAGAGAGGAAGCAAGAGTACCCACAGAGAAACCTTTCATGCACAGAGAGAACATGCAAACTCCATCCACAATGACCCCATGTCAAGATTCGAACACCAGACCTTCTCGTTCCAAGCCAGCAGTGTTTCCAATACCAACCGACCCAAGAAAAATTCCATATTTTTAGACAATAAAAAGTCTATTTTAATCATTGGATAACTTAATACAAAGTTAAATACCTTTTTATTCCTCATGACATTTTTTCTATAGTTAAAAATGGGTAAAGAGAAAATACAAAAGACATTAGACTGGGGGGAAGACGGGTCAATAGAAACCAGAGCAGATTTAAATAATTAATGAAAAGGAAAAAAAAAACACTGCAACGAAACCAAAGATAAATTACTTACATTGCGATTGCTGTTTTGTGCTCAACCTCTGGGAATGTTTATTTAGCAACATTTTTATGACGTTTTTACATCAAGAATAGTGGAAGGCCAACTAACCAGCTGCATGCAATTTTATTTCACAACAATAATTAATTTCCCTTGAACTCTACCAAAAAACTACCAAAAATCAAGACAGTCTTGAGCAGTTGAATTTTTGACAGTGAAAACATTTTTGATCGAGTTTGTCGTCATCGGTTTTCCAGGTGAACTTAGTCTTTTGTCTGCTGAGGCTGAACTGGGAAACAGGAAACTCATTTCCAGTTCCTCCATCTGCTTTCTCAATCTTTTCCCTACAATAAGTGATGATGAGCACACAGAGCGGCATGCTGTTTGCAGACATGATTGTACTACTGCCCTTACTCTGGTTGTCTGCTTCATCATTGGCTCTAAGGGAGAAACACTGAGTGGTTGTTTGTTCTCTGCAGGATTTATGCAATGGAACGACTCACTTTTGTTCTCTGCTGTCTCCTCAGTTGCATCAGTAGCATTACTGCTCCTCCACAATGCATTGCCAGAGGCGTTTGTGTTCATCCGACAGACCAGTATAACAATTACCTCCACTCCTTCTAGCCCAAGTCAGAGCAACAAAACTGGAAGGTAGGTCCCTTATACACAATATGTATCCTAGGTGAAAAATATTGAAATACAAAAGTCCCATGTAAGGAATTTATTTTTCCTGAAAGAATGAAAGTTGTGGTAATGATGTATTGGAAGTTGCAGCTTAAAAGTAAAATCCTGTTTTGAATCTTTATGCATTTTTTGCTACTATTCATCTAGTATTCAGTAAAGGAATGCTGTGTTGTTGCATTTTGGGCATTAAAATGTTAATTTCCATATTTATCTGTAGCCCTACATTGCACTAAGGTCAAAGCTCATTGTGTCTTTCTTCTCCAGCCTTGTGAAGTAGTATAGCAGAATGCTTCTCTTGTGCCAGAAGGGGTTTGCACAGGGTCAACAAAACTTTGTACTTTTGAATAAATGTACTTAATTTAGTGGCGTTTTTTGTTTTTACAAAAATTTGCAGACATGATTGTACTGCTGTAACAAGTCTAAATAACAAATTTATTCCACCAGTCTAATACTTATGGTCTATTTAGAAATGCAGTGTGATTTTTAAACAGAAATTGGTCTGATTTCAGTTTAGGAATCAGACAGATTTAAGCCAGCGCCTCTCTCTCTGTTTCCTTTTCTTCCTTTCAGGTTCTCCTTTGACTCAACTTGTTTATTAACTAACTGCAGCTATGTCTGGTTCTGGTGACTTACCAGGTGAGTGCTGTTATGGATTAATGAAGGTCAATTTTAAATTGATAAATCAGTTCGTGCTTTGCCCATGCTCAGTAACTTTTTTTTGTTTTTAAGATACGTCATATGTCAATAAAAGCCAAACAATAAAGGCTTATTTGAATCTCATTAGGTTAAGGGTTTTATTAAAGGATAAATATTAACTTGTATACAATTATTAAAAAATGTTAGTCACAAATGCAAGTTTTAGTTTGGTGTGAAAAAATGTTTTGACTTTCTGAATATGATCACTACTGGACCTGTCACAATAACAGATTTTGCTGGACGATTAATTGTCTCAAAAAATTATTGCGATAAACGATAATATTGTTTGAAAACCTTTTTACACTGATTTAATGGAAGTTACGTAATAATACATGCGATTTCCAGCCAAAGATAGATACACTTTATTTTCAAAAGGACACTTAACACTGGGACTGATACACAAAATAAATAAAACAACCAAAAACAAAAATAAAATAGATTCTCAGTCTCCATTAACAATAAATGTACTTGAATAAAAACTAAACAACATAAAGCCAAAGTGGAAATAAATACTGCATTCAACCAAAAGAGTGCAGATTATGAAGTCTGTATTTTGCCCTTCAGTGATAATTAGATTTAAATAGAGAAGAATCTGACTGCCTGATGCAATAGTTCAAACTACAGGATTTTTTACCCCGGATGACAATTTTAGAACGTTATTCATTCTGAGATTGTCACTTGTGTTGTGTGTTACGGTAGATCGCTCCGATCTAAATCAAGGATTTGCCCAGACTGGGAGCTTAACGCAGCCTGCTGAATGTGACCAGTAGCCAATCAGAAAGCATGGATTCTTTCTGCAGAGATTCACCAAAGGTTATTAATGTCCACTGTGGGAATATTCTGACCTGAATGTCAATAAAACCAAAGTCGCTCAGTCGCTCACTATCAGAAAACCCGCCTCAGATCAGAACTTTAAAACCTGGCAACTGCTTCTGCACCTCATATGAACCTACAGCTGCAACCACCTCATACCTAAACCAACTATTAACTTTATTCTGCTGTGACTGAACTATATTTATGTTCCTAACTGAATCATATTCCATGTCACCAGATAGTATTAATAATTTAGTGTGTAACTGAATATGTTGAAACTTTGCTTTTAAATTGTTCTGTGGTCAATAAAACAAGTTATTTTTGGAAGGATAAAGTCTGTCTGTCACAAGTTAAGTTATCAAATGGAGTTGCAATCATTTATATGACGGATTTTTTCTTAAAATTTTGTTAAATCCAATTTATAAACTAAATATTGTAGCTATTTTTTTTTGCTTTACTTTTAATAAATTTTTCAACTTTAAATTTGTTTTAACATTTAATTTTATAATTAATTTTAAAAAATATTTATTTGTAAATAAACCAATTCATCATATAAAAGTTCAAACTCTGAGGAAATAAATCTTAGAATTTCCTTGTCAGTGATTTATTTCAGGTCCGTATTCAACACAGTTCATCAACTCTTAATAGACAGAAGCTTAATAGGTTTAATCTGTGCTCATAGCAAACTAATATTCCTCTAAGGAGCCATCAGTTTATTTTTTTTTACATTTTTGTCTTTTGAGGTCATCCAGATGAGCTTCAGATACCATCTGTGTTTTTGATGATTTTGGTTAGGAAAATCATCATCCCAACATTTTCTGAGTCGGAGATGACTTCCCTGCTTATTAACTTCAAAGAATGGAAAAAAATGTCTTTGGATATTTTCCTATTTTTAGAATCTTTATTCATAAGTTTAAGTTTTTTTCTTTCAAGTGATTCAGTCCCTTCAAATATTTTGTTAACAATGACTCCAAGCACAAAAAACATTGTTAACTTTAAGCTTTCGTCCACTTTGTTCGGAGCCGCTTTACTACAGTGATAAATCTCTCCATTCTGGAGATGAAGTAATATCACAGTGAAAGAGGAGAAAACATGAACTTACCTTTGCAGCCATTGAGGGTTCTGGGATGGGTGGGATGAAGCTCCCTGTCGGAATGACTCGACGGGCCCTCAGCTACGATGACAACCTGGAGGCCCCCATGTCCACGCCGCCCCATGACATCAGCATCAACAACCTGTGGAGGCGGCCTGTAATACCAGAGAGAAAGTTCTCCCAACTGGCTGAGGTAAAACACTGCTTCCATTTCCACGCCTGATCGTTTCCCAACAGGTCCACTTTCAGTCTGACTGTTTGACCTTACAGGAGGATGAAGGCGCCGCCGTCAAACAGGCTGCCGGGCAGGATGGCGCCCTCTTCAAGGCACCAGCTGTGGTAAAAACTAAGGCCTCGTCCATCATCATGAATTCTCTCATTACCAGTAAGTTAGACCTCCTACAATCTACGTAACAATCCTTTATTTAGATGGAAAGTTATCCATGCTATCTGAGCATTTTCTGAATCAAATTATTTGATAAAAACATGAAAATAGATTTTGCTATCAAGCAGCTTTCCACTAGCGTGAATGTATTGTTGTCTGCCCTCAGAGCACACTCAGGAAAGCATGTACAAGTTTGAGCAGACGGCGGGTCTCACCGACACCAGTTACACTCCACACAAAGGCCTGACAGCGGAGGAGACGAGACACCACCACCGCGTCCCCGAGTCCCTCCAGGTGAGATCAGCACGTCAGTAATAAAACACCAGGAGCCAATAGTGTGCTGGGTTTAAAGGCCAACTGACCAATCACAGCTGCAGATCACATGAACAGGGTGACCACACATCCTTAAAAAAGGTCTTAAATTCATGTATCCAAAATTAAGGCCTTATGTCATAAAAGTGTTCAAAAACATGTAAGTTGGCCTTATATATGTTTATTACAGGTCTAAAATTTCGTCTTGGCAGAGGTATTGGTCTCGTATTTTCTATGTAGTTTATTTTTGTGTCAGGCAGACGTTTGAGTCATGGGCAGATATTACGTTCTGACTTGAGGTGGTGGAGTATTTACTGGAATCGGAAGAAGCATTTTTTGGATATGAAGAGATTCTGTAAGACTCTCTTCAAGGGTTTAAATGATATACAACATAACTCGTCATTGTTTTATGTCATGGTCTGTACTAACATCCTCCTCTATTTTCCTTTCTTTTTTCCCTGTTGGAGTTTACTTATCCAAATTTGATAAAATATTTTATCTTTAGCGAAGCTGGAAAATGCAACTCCATCAGAATTTTCTGCCTGGTTTGAACTATTATTATTTGAATTAATCTGCTTACTGTTGAAATTCTCCTTGTAGAGTGGAAGGCAAATAATGCATAGTTTTCAAGTTTTGTAAAGTAAGTCTCAATGCACATTTATGTTCAGACCCATGGTGGAAATTGGAAGCTGCTTCAAGTAGGATAGACAGTTTAAATATACATTCAGAAATACTTTGGGGGATAGCTTGAAAGTTAAAACCTATATCAAATTTAGAAGCTGCAAAATTGCTCTTCCAAGTTTCAATCTTCTCCATCTGACTGAGTTTAACATATTTTGCAAAAAGGAGTCTGGCAGATTTCAGTCTCAGCAAAATATTTATGTACAAAGTATGGACTCAGGGTGCTGAAAACAAAAATGAACACACTCTCAGAATGTTAAATAATAATAAAAAAAATTCAAAAGACATTTTTCTTTGCCCTTCCATGTCATTTTGAGTTTCTATGTCACATGAAATCCCAAGAAGATCCATTAATGTTTGTTATGTAATGTACCAAAATGTGGAAAAGTCCAAAGGCAATGAATACTTTGGCAAAGATCTGTATCAGATGTAGCAATGTTAGGTAACAGATACTTCTGTGTTGTTGTGTAGAAGCTGCAGATCCAAAGCCTGGAGGCCAAAGAAGAGAAATCCTCCTCTGCCCAGTCCACTCCATCCAACACGCCGCACAGCTCCCCGAAGCAGCAGCGCAGGTACACATGCAGCTTTCAGCTTCCTGTGGTCTGAGCATGGTTTCTGAGCATCGGCGTGATAAGGGACTGAAAGCTGGCGTGCTGTTTGTGTTGGTTTGCAGGGGCTGGTTCGGGAGTTCGGGGTCAGAGGTCAGCATCAGCTCCTCTAACAGCAGTGTGGACATGGCAGGAGGAGGAGCTGCAGGAGATCCAGGCGTAGGTGGAGCGGTCGAGCGATGGGGAGTGTTTGGGCCTCGACTTCCTGTCCAGAGTTCAGCCTCTGACGTGGGATCAGATGGTTCTGCTGCAGGTAATGGCAAAGGCCTACAAATGCTTAAATACAAACAGAAACAAGTTTCAGCAACACAAACTCATTTTATCCAGCATGAGTAGCAAGTCCTACATCTGTGTATCTAAAATGTAGAAAATATTGTCACCTTCTTAAAATAAGGGTGACCATATTGTCTAAAAAAAGTGATATTTTTTTAGCAAAAAAAATTTAGCTTTAAATGATTTTTTTGTTTATTTCTTTTGCTTTAAATATCTTGTGGAAAGAAAGTGATAGTAATTTTGTGTTTATTTTTTTTTTTTGCCAAAAATTGACCATTACAGTAAGAAGGTGATATGCATGTTGGCCTTAATTACATTAATCTCTTCTATTTTGTGGTGGCAGGACTCTGTTGTACGTTCCACGTAATTAATTTTTCTTGCAGGATTTTGCTATTGAATAAACGTTTAGTTGTGAGCAGACATTCTCATTGCTTTCTGAGGCTGCCACTAACTAGCTGCTAGCATGCATGTGCTATCCAGCAAACTAGTGTCAGTTTATCGCTTGTTTACTGGAGAATATTTGTCTTTGCCTCTGGCTCACTTCTGTTGCCTATCTATATGTTCATTCAGTGCAAAACAACTAAGCATTACAACTATGTAAAAGATTGTTTTCTTTTGTACATTTCTGTCATGATACAGATCTTAAATTGTATCCATAATGGTCTTAAAAAGGTCTTAAACCTACAGAAAGTGGTTTAGCAGTAGATTCTGGGTTAAAGGATGAAAGCAGGACCTTCAGACTAGCAGTAAACACTGATCGACATTTACATTGTCAGTCATTGGCCCGTGCAAAGGGTGACGCAGGATTTCTCTCTACATAAACACATAAACACCAGCAGACGCTGCTGAAAAGCTGCTGTTCGATGCTAGAATCTGGAATGGTTGAACTGGAGACCTAAAGTCTCTCCTTCAGGATGACTCCGGGTAGGTCATCAGGGAATGATCTCTTCTGGATGTGTCTGGGATTATCTGAGATTTATGTATCTTCCTGAGGGATTTTAAATTGAAGTTCAGAATAAGTATTTTTTGAATTAGCTATAGACATTTTAAAACAAGAATTGCTACAGAAGTGCAAAGCAAATGAAAATGCACTATTTGCAAAGTAAACATGGGGGTTAGAAATGTATCATTTCAGCACTGAGGTATAATGTAGCTCAAAAATGCATTTAAATCAGAAAACAGTGAGTTAGTCTTTGACTATTGTTCTTTGTACAATATTCAGATGGTCCTGGGTCCTCCTCTGTGCTAACCTCTGAGGTCTAATATAGAATCTATAGACTGAAATGGTATTGGATGAACACTGCCTTTGTGTCTGAAGAACCATTTGTTTTGATTAGGCCACATGCTGGGTCATTATGCTGCTGAAAGCCATAATTATGATTGCAACAGTCCTTGTTCTCCTTGACTTGAATGTTATGGTTGATATTGTTGACCTGTAGTTCTGATCTGCGATAGCCGCCACAGTCCTTCCATGATCTGAATCTTACCTAACTAGTTGAAGTGTTTCCAGTCTAATTAGTTGATTTCTCCTCAGCTGCAGCTCAGATTTCTTCTGGAGTCCTCCAAGGCTCCGTCTTTGGTCCAATGCTGTTTTTTATTATATTTATTGCCACTGGGGACTATATTTTTTTAATTCAGTTCAATTTAATTAAAAAAAGTACTTTTTTTAATCCCAAATGAAAAATGTATTAATTCAAGTAAATAAATTCCAAAGGAAAAACAAACTTAACATAGCTTTTCCACTTCTACGCAGATGATCTTCAGTGTTACATTTATCCTTTGTTTGGCTGCTTGAGTGAGATAAAATCTTGAATGAACAGTACACTTTTTAAAAAAAATCTAATTTGGTTGTTTTTAAACAGCTCTATAAATAAGTGACTTAAGACCTACATGAATTGTTTAAAGAAACACTTGCTTTCTTCTGTGCAAAGCAGTTCCAGACAGTCTGTGGAGATGTGTGGTTTGGAGACAGTAGTGTCTAAAATAATGGTACTGGACTGACAGATTACCTAATTTGAGTTTTTGCCTATGTTGACCGCTGCGTTTTTCTCCCAGCAGGCTTTGCCATCCAGGCGTACCGTGGAGCCCAGAAGCCGACCCCCATGGAGGTGATGAAGTCGCAGGCCACGCGACTGGCTGACAACCCTCACAGGGTGTCCCCGCCCAAAATGGAGATCCCCACAGTGGAGGGCCGGCGGCAGGGAGCGCGGCCCCACAAGCTCAAACACCGAGACATGAACATCCTGACGCCATCCGGCTTCTGAGACGAACCCCATCGCTAAGATATGTCCCATGACATGAAAACAACGCCCCAGGGTCCCTCATTTTACTGTTCACAGTCCCTTAATCTTTAGGTTAAACAGATACACAAGTCTTATTGTTTCCAAAGAAATTCTTTTTGTGCTTGCTGCTCATTTCATTTTTTTATTTTTTATATATCATTAATAGAATAAATTTCAGTCAGAGCAAAAGCATTTTAAACCCACCTGGGTTTGATTTATTTATTCAGGAGGAATTCAAAATTAATTGAAATACATTGAGTTTGTAACTTGAGAACTGTGACCATCTATCATAACTGTAAGTGGTGAGCTGAACTCCAGCTGAAGGTTTTTCAGAACCAGAACTCTAAAGTTCAGATGTTCGGCAGCTCAGACTGGGTTCATGCTAGAGCATAGTTAGCTCATCTGTAAACATGATGTTACATATGTTCTTATATTTTCCTCATGTTTTTGGTTTATGACATCTTGTTTATTATGTTGACTATTTTTACCCAGCTTTTTTTGTGTGTTTTATAAAAAATAGTTAGCATAAAAAAAACATTGTTTCATCTTTGGATTAATTCATAGGCATTTACCCTCATTTCATTCCTTCCTGCTTCACACTCATGTAATCTACTCATTTTTTTAAAATATATTTTTAGTCAAGTATTTTCATAAATTATGCAGATAAATGTGGTTAAAAAAGTCAAATCACATGTAAAATGTAATCCAATTCAGCTTTATTTAGTCTTATTTCCATTAATTCTTATGAAATATGACATTAACCCCCAATCAAACCAAAATAACTCAGAGCAACTTTTTATGTTAGATGTTATTTGTGTCACATTTCCTGAGCAATATTACTGAGCATTCGGGCTGTTACAAATAAAAATTGAAGTGGAAGAATTAATTTGGCCAAACTCAGAAATTCTTAAATTATCTTCACATATCTGTGAGAACAATTAGATATTCTCCAGTGTCGAATGTTAACTCAGGGAAAAAAAGTAATTTTACTCGATTAAGAGCATAAATTGTGATGATTAAGCTGATGTATTTGCCGACTTGATGTAATCAGACATTTGCCACAGAAAATGCAGCAGTGGTAAATGTTTTCTGTATCTGAACATCTCCAGAGTTCAGACTTGGTGCAGCTTTACTCTCACTGTTTAGGTGTTTATCCTGGGCCTGTGTGAGGCGTTCATGCTGAATTCAAACCCAGAATATCTCTTTTTTTTTCTTGCAAATATTTAACATGAATGTAGAAGATTTTAAGTTTTTTTGTTTGTTTTTTTGGGGATCTCCAACAGCCCAGATACTTTGTCATATTGACAGCACTCTGAGGAAAATTCTTCTGAATTGACAGCTATCAAAGTCCAAAATAATCACTGAAAGATTTACTGCTTGCTCCATTTATTGTGATTTTTTGTTTTCAACCTTCTGAACTTTATTGTATTCCTGTCACTATTTTTGCTGGGTAAAAAAAAAAAATCACTCTTTATGGGACCATTGAGCCGTAACCGCTTCATATAAACTTTCCAACATTTCCGCCACAAACACCTCAACAGAAAATAAGTAAAACATTTCTATATGTGCTGATGTCGTGTGTAAAATCAAATCGTCTCTTTCACCTTTTGCTGTTTAAACTGTTATATGAAGCTTCAACTTGACATCAGCCTACAAACACCTGCTGTTTAGTTCAGCTGAAGTTAAAAGGCGATTATGGTCCCAGATGTAACAATGCACTTTATCCCCTGTTGAAACTGTTTTCATTTGCCTTGTTAATGAGGCACCAAGCAAGACGGGACGAAGAAGTCGAACCACTTAAGTGTTGATCAAACCAACAGAGCAAAAATATTCCAGATATATTGTAAAAGTCGTCTCAGGAAGAATTGGCAGGCTCCTGTCCTGTGGAAGGTTAAGCTGAATTATTTGTTTGATTTTTTCTCCTTTTTCATTGTACAGATTTAAAATATTTGAGCTTTACAGACATTATTTCAGTTAGAAATCAAAAGACATCCAGAGTTCAAATTAGAGATCTGTGCTCCCTCTAACAGGCTGCAGTGTTTAGTTTTCTGAGCTCAAATTTCTCATAACGAAATTTGACATTTTCACTAATTGAACTCACTTTTCTCCATTGTTTTTACTGATGGATGCATTTGAAGGATTTTGTTTTTTTACAACATTTTTGGACTTTAAAAACTGCTGTGTGCATTTTCTGCATCTCACAGAAACCCTGTCACTTGTTTTTTTATATATACATTTAAGCACTTCATATATTTTCTCCCTAAATGACAAAATATGTCCTTCCTGCCAAGTTATCTTAATTCAGATAAGTTATTTGCTGTGCTGGTTTGCAGATGATGGCTAACATTATATATAAAGGTTTCTGTAAGATTATACGTGCAAAGTCTCTTCATTAAGCACCTTTGACCATAAAGTGAACCCTTGTTTTTTCTTATTACTATTTTCTGGTAAAAGGAGAAAAAAACCCTGAAAGTTAACCTCCTGTAACTGCTGTGGTCGTATTCAGATGCTGTCATTCTGTGTGGTCACTAACTGTTGATATCTGATGCATGTACTTTCCATTTGTTAAAGATGGGTCCATAGTACTTTACAGGTTCTTAGTGGTCAATGTGACACTCTCCCTCTTTAATCAGAACGAAGCATCACAGTTTAATGTTCTGTCTGTAGACGTGACTCAGTCCTGATAGAAAGTTTCCGCCACTTCAGTGATTTTTATTTTACATTTCTTTTTGATTGTACAGTTTAGTTCACGTTGCCGGCACAGTTTGACAATAAATATTTCACCCTGTGGAAAAAAGTCTGAGCTTTATTGTTTTTTGGTTTAAAATTTTTTATTTTAACAAATTTCATTGGCACTTCATGACAAAGATCATTTCCATGTTGAGCACAACAGATTTCATCCTCCTGTGAAGAGACCTGACTTCAGTTTTCATTTAATTCATGTCAACTGGCAATAATTGATAAAAGAAAGTGGATTAAAATAAGTTTTATTAGAAAGGTTTCTTCATGCAGAGAACAGTAGTTCAAGGTTTCAAATGATAAAGTGCCGACATAAATATTGAGATTTGATTTGAAATGTGCAGGTTCTTTCACGTCTCAAGAAATCAAAATGTCAGCATTTATGTCACTTTATCAAGTTTTTATTTATTTAATGTAGTATAAAAAACTAACCATCTCAATGTGGGTTTTCATTGGTCACAATCATCAAAAGTAACCTTTGAAGAATCTGAGTAATGAATCAATGTACAGTGGACTCCCACCTATTTAAAGTTGAGTAGTTGTGTATTATTCACTGCTTTTTGTTCAATAAGTCACCATGTAGGCTGTAGAGATGGAACCTTATAGGTTTGTAAATATGCCCTTAAATTAGTAAAGATAGAACTAAAAATATTTTACTCATAATTCTTAAAGATGTCCTGAAAACAAAATTAATAAAGTGTTGGAATAATTTTAGTTTTACACATTATAATTTATGAATTGTATCTAATTTCCACCACGGTTTGTAGATAGCAAAATGACCTTTAATGCCAATATGTGAACTGTTTTAACGAAACGGGTCACACCGACACATTAAATCTTCTGTACATCATCAAGTCTGGGCTTTTTGGAGGAAATAAAGGTTATACAGTCTATACACTCTATACAGCTTTGACTGTATAGAGTGTGGAACATAAAACTGCTGCTTTATCACGTGGAGACACGTGGGACTGACTGAGTCTCAATATTACATCACCGGCTTCAGTGTGCTGCCTGGGAAGATAGGAATTAATTTGACCTTTAATAACGTGAACCTCCACTAACATGATGTTCTTGTTTCTGTTTTTATACCACCACATAATCTGTCTGCTGCTAGTCGCAGCTTCTTTCTTCCCTTCTTCACTCCTGTTGAGAAAAACAATCAGTCTTCAGATGCTTCCTCCACCAGCTCTTCCCAGATCTGCTCCTCTTCTCCTGATTTCTCCATATGCCCTGTAGAACAGCTCCATCTCCCTCTGAAGGCTGCTGTTCCTGCGGTCTGCGTCTGCTTTGGCTCGCTCCATGTTTCTGATCTTGATCTCTGCCACGCTCTGGCTTCGCCTCTGCTGCTCCAGACTGAGTCGCAGAACGGCAACTTGCCGTTCGAGGACGTCATTGCAGCGCTCCAACCTGTGACCCATGAATACATGACATGGGGTGACCAAAGTGTTGCACCTCTTCATTTATAAAGAACAGAGTTCAGATTTCTTAAACTTTTGTATATTTTTACATTTTAATTTTGTTGCATCACCTTTGCATTAGCAGTGAACTGATTGCAGTTTTCTGCTGATTACCAATATTTTAAAAGCCTGACCTGCTTTAGCAACATTTTTGTCTGAAATGTTGCTCAATGTAGCAAAAACATCAATAAGTTGGCAGCAGTGGGGTAGTTAATGTTAACTGTAAATGTGCATGTCTTGGTGAACGGGTCTGTCAGTCAAAATGTAAAGGTAAGGGTAAGTGTTATGGGCCAGATGGAAATTGTATGGACCTTAAAAATGCAGAAAAGTAATACCTCTCAATCCTGTTTTGATACTCTGCCTTCTGTTGAGACATCTGCTGCCTCAGGTTGGTCAGCAGAAAATGAGTGTCTTTCGGCTCAATGTGAGACTCTTGAACCTGGAGATCTGGAGCCCCAGAGGGGAGGAAGACCTCTGAGCTCCCTGTGCTGAGAGGGCTGATGCTGATGACGGAACAGGAAGCCCAGGAGCTTGGATGTTGCTTGGCACCATTGCTGTCATGATCATCTTTATCAAAGACTTCCTGTTCTGTTCTCTGACTCAGAGGCAACATTCTGGATCTCTTTGGTGGGATATCAGGACTGCCAACCTCTAGGTCATCATTGCTTTCATCTAATGGTAGAACTTCACAGGAAGACCACGAGGAAGAGGAGTCTCCTGCCTTCCCCAGTTCTGCTTGATCTACCTCTGCTTCACACATTCCAACATTGGTTCCTGGAGAATCTGAATCAAAGTTCTCAGTAGGAACATTCTCCAATGTGTGAGACAAAGAGACTCTGTCCAGGTTGTCGTAGACAGAGGGTGTACTGTCCTCCTGTGCTTGACTGCTCCCCCCACTGGCTGCTTCAGGAATATCACCCTCTTCCTCTGCTCCACTACAGCTCCAGTAGGCAGAGGCCGCCTTTTCTTGGCGTTGCCGTCCCATTGCCCCCCGATTCGAGGCTTCAGCTTGTAGCTGGAGGTTGGTAATTGTGGCTTGAACATTTGCAGAAGATGAAACCTGCCCAGCATGGTACTTGTAAAAATCTCCTTCATGCCTGCCAGGGTGGTGGTTGATGGACTCACTGGAAGAAGGCAAGGGGTAGAAGCAGTTCTCTGGATGGGAGGAAGTGTAGCGGTGACCAAGGTGTTTCTTCTGACCAGAGAGCAAGTCTGATTTACCAGCAGCAGAGAAGATACAACTGCAGGGAAGAAACTTGAAAAGTTATTAGAGACAATTCAAACTGAAGTCAGACTGAAACTGTGTTGCACAAACGATTTCATTTTGGATCTTTAACATTAACTTGAACCTCAAAAGTGAGAAACTGCAAAAACATAAATGTTAAGTATTTTTGGTCTCGTTTCCACTGCAAATATCTTAGTACCTTTGAAATAAAACAAAACTAACTTACAATAGTTTTGTTTCAGCATTAGATAGGAGCTTATTTTAAGTCAGTAATTCCTGTATATTGATGAACAGTTAGCAGTTACAAGTGAAATACTCTGCGAGGGCAACAAAGCAGTTTTCTCATATTGTAAGTTTCAATCAAAAGTTTTTCTCTGCTTTTGAGGTTTATAAAGATTCAGATTTCACTTTTCAGCAGGACCAGGTACCTGCCCACAGGCAGACATTTACAAAAAGAGCTTTGGAGGTCATGGTGGCGCTGTGGTTGGTTTTAAACTCAATCACTTCAATAAATTAACTTTTCCATTGAATTCTACTCTTCAGATGCAGCTATTATTCTCTACTTGTGTGAGAATGACTAATCGCCAACTGACCGTTGAATGCTTGAACCCCTGTGTTTTACCTAGAGTGGTCTGCATGTGCGCCTGGTTGTCCTGATTCACTGGAGTGGTCAGCAATAAGAGGCAAAGACAGCTGGCGAAGGCAGGGCGATGGCTGGAGATGGGGTTGCTTCAAATGTGTTGCAGAAGGATGAGAGCAGGCAGCAGGAGGGAACTTGGCAAACAGAGATTCATGTTCTCTGATCAGCTCTGACATGAGCACCTGGACCAGTTTGGCAGCTTGGAGACAGACAAGAAGAGAACTTTTGTGTAGAAGTCAAAGCTAGAAAATGTTGTTGCACTTCCTTAAGATCATACATCCTAAACTTAAGGAGGAACTGAAATAATATGTCACAAGTTCTGGTTGCAAGATAGAATTCTTCAGGTGTGAATCAAAACCTCCAAAATGTCTAAAGAAGTAAACTTAAGTTTTTAAAGATAATTCCAACAGGTAAAGCACTGAGCATCACCTCTAAACCCAGGAGTAAGTCAGGTGCAAGCATCATGGTATGGGATTTTGTAGAAATAGAGGAAATTATTGACCTTTTTGACACAAAATCTGCAGGTGTAAGCTAGAAGACTGAGAGTGAAGATGCTAAGCCTTTTCAAAACATCACCAAGATTCCAAGGACATCTTTAAATCAATAAAACAACCATCTCAAGAAGAACAAAGTTTTGCAATCGACTAACACCAATTCAAAACCCGATCCGACAGAAAACCTGCAGGGTTGATAAACTCCAACCTAAGAAGACAACCATGAAAAACAAGATTGATGCTGATGTTTCCTGGCAGCTGAGAAAAATGGAAAAATGATGTAAACGTATTAAGAGTAAGTCTGCAAAAAATAAATTCATGATTTCTACAGATTTTCTTACCGGTTACACTTTTAATTTAGGGGTTTAAAAAAAAAGTATTGACTTGTTCTAGAGCACTGAAAAACCTTTATGAAGAAAGAAATTATTGCTATCATGCAGTAGTTTGAGATAAGCAAAAAATCTGAAATGAACTGTTGCCAGTTTACCTCCCATGATGCTTTGTGGGTCTTCAGCTTTGGCTCGAAGGATGTTTGGTCCAAACACGGTCGCCAAGTTCTGGACGTTCATCTTGTTACTGCTGGAGCAGCTCTGAACCTCATTCAGAAACCTGCACACATCCGTTCCTCGTGAGCTGCACAGTCAGAGAAGCTGGTCCCAACTTTGAAACAATCTACCTTGATTTAATCACCAAAAATGTCAAAACTAATGAAGTCAGACAGATCGTACTGGCAGATAAAGTTGAGTAGGTTGAAGTTTGCGACAGGTAACTCATGAAGAAGATTCTTCAACTCCTCCAGACCCTGAGGGTGGACATGGAGATAAAACAGAATAAAGGAGCATTTCTAAAATAAAACAGTCATTAAATCTCATCTAATCTGAGCTTTGTGTTTTCACCAATAGTTGTGTTTTACGTCAGTCTCTGTGGTGTGGTGCACTGAGTGATTACCACTGTACGGTCACTTAACAGCTTCTGACCGCAGAGCAGAAAGTCCTGGTAGTGGCTGTAGGGAACCAGAGGTTCTGGTAGCTGCCTGAAGTAGAGCTTCAGCAGTGATGCCACAGTGTGGACGTCTGTCCTGCTGCAGACAAAACACAACACACCAGATCCCTTACTTAAACTGCTGTGCCTCCCCAAATCAAAGTTACATTCACACTTCAAAGATACTGCAAACAAATGCACAATTATACAACTACACATCTTTGAATAGTAGAAGTTGAGTCTCTTGCATAACCAACAAGAATGCAGAAAGTGGTTTCTGGACAGTAACATTTGTCTTTTCCAGCAGCCACAGTTCAAAGCATACAGCTGTAAAACCAGCTGACCAAATGTGCTGGAGATCTGCTTTTGTTTCTAGATGACAGGCTATCTGCCACTGGGGTTGCTTGGTAATAAATTGGACTTCTTTGGGGTTGCCAGGTGAGGGGATCTTACATTCCAGAGGTTTTTGTAACAGGTCACTTTTCAATTACCAAAAAACATTCAATTATTGCCAAAAAAACCTTTGGAGGTTTTTAAGGGCTTTAAAATACTGTATTTTTAGGTTATTAATCACTGAATGGCTTACCAAAATACATTCAAAACACATTGTCACAATAAAACAATTTGGAATATCTTCCAGGTCCCTAAGGTGTTTTGGTTCAGGTCGACTCTTCATCCCCAGAATCAAAACGAAACATTGAGAAGCAACATTCAGTTTTTATGCTTATCTAATCTGGAGCAAACTTCCATAAAACTGCAGAGATGCTGAAACACTGAGTTCCTTTATATCAAGACTAAAAACTCATCTCTTTAGAGTTGGCTTTGACTAGTTGTAAGTGGCACATTAATCAACATATTCATGATTTTGATGTTTGTGTTTAACAAATGTAAAGTCTATTGCTAGTTTCATAATTGGTTACTGTATTATGGTTTTATGGCATAAAGCACTTTGAACTGCCAATGTTTCTGAAATGTGCTTTACAGATAAACTTGACTGTACTTGACTTAAATGTGATCTGAAATCTGCGTAAGAAAAAAGAGAAGGAGCTGAACCTGTCAAAAGACGGCCTTTCACCAGAATCAAAAGCCTCCTGGAGCTCTTTCACCAGACTGGTGCGTCCAGGCTGGCGAAACAAGCCCACCTCATGCAGACCACGTTCACGGATAAATGTCACACACTGCTCCACCACCAGAGGAACCAAGCGCACCCCATACCGACGCTCATACAGCACCGTCTCCTCCAGACGTTGCCCAAAAACCCCTGCAACAGAAACAGAAATCCCTCCCTCACAATAAATCCTAAAACCAGACTGGAGTTTTCTGTTTTTGTTTTGCTTGTAAGAGTCAATAAATGTTTGGTTTTAGGGTGAATGGGTGAACCATTGTGTGTGTTTTAGTGAGTTCCCACCTGTGAAAGGGATCCAGACTCCCTTGTTAAGGCTCTTCAACCACTCGTCACCCTGACCGGCGCTGTTAGATAGGAAGAAATAGGAGCCTGGGCTGGCCAGCACATCTCTGTTACCTACATATAAATCATACATTTTCACTCAAGATGTTCTTCTCAGTGGGGATCATCATAAATCAATTCCCCCTATCTGGGATTTAATATAATGATCATTTTGGTCTTATATGTAGCTAATATGTAGTTACATTAGCCAGTATGCTAAAAATAAATCTATATTTAAACCTGCATTTTATCATATGTAGAAACTTTTTTTAGGCAGTATATACTAGAAATTGTTGTTTCAAAAGCTAAAGTTAAACTAAATTTTACTTTTCTAATAAATCATGCTTATTTATTGCTTTCTGGCTAAGCTAATCAGCTAATGAAGCTAATGTCCAGAATGAAATTATCTTCAGACTGAGTTTACTTTTTAGCAGTTAGCTTCAGGTCAGTTTGTTCTTCAACTGGTTGATGAGCAAATGGGTATTTTAGCAGATTTATGAAATATTGATTGAATTTTGTAACAGTTATAAGACTGCATATTTATTGAGGTTGAACTCTTTCCAGCCTTTCTGAATCATTTCTTCAAAAAGCGAAAAGCTTAAGGTCTCAATTCTCACTATTGAGTTGTTGCCTTTCTCACCATTTCCAGGCTCTTAAATGTCATTGACTTTGCTTTTTTATCTGTTCTTGAAAGTCTTAAGATCAAGGAAAGATGTACTGCTTGTTCACCTACTTTCTGTTGTTAGACAGTTTCCATATAAATGATTTGTTGCTTCTACAAATCTGGCAGCTTTCAGGAATGACAGTGGCTAAAGAAACTGAACTAAATATGCTTAAACACATTCAATTCATGATTTAGCAATGTTTGGGTTGGGTTAGCTATTTTAAAACTGCATTCTTTATGTACTTTGGTTATGTTTATTGATCTGTAGGAAGCAAGAGGAGAACAGTAGATGTAACCTTCCTATGCCCAGCATGCCTTAACACATTTACACACTGTCCTCTTTCTATTTCCCATCATCTGTAGCTTTCTGTCCCTCTCAATGTCACAGACACACGCACGCAGCCCCACACACAACCGGACACACAAGACAAGAATCCCACACTTCCTGACTCAGCATTTAAATGTTTTCCTTGTTGGATGACACACATGCAGCTGAAGTCTGGGAGGGATTGGGAACTAACATGCCAACTGTGTGTATTTCTTACCTTTGTGGCCTGTACTGTCATATTTCCAAGACTTAAAGCAGCTGAGTCCCATGCTGCAACCACTTCAGGCCTGGTTGGAGATGCTCAACCCAAAGTGAGGACGTGTTTTAAAGGGTTAAAGAGTGATTAATAAATGAAATAGGTCCCAAATCCCTCAAAGAATCCTTCTTAATCTATAATTGAGATTATACATTTGACAAAAAAGTCCAATTTCTGGTTAGATAGAGACACACTATTTAGTGGATGCTGAACAATAATGAAGCAACTAGATTGTAAAAAAATAGGAAGAAAAGCAAAAGGTCTCTAACACGGATCCACAGACTGGTTTTAGAAGTTTGGATTGTCCAAATGTGTCAGTGAAGACATATATATTTGGTATCAAGACTTTTGCCAAACTTTCTACCACTGAAAAAAGTCTCTTTTTCAAATTATGTAGTTAAGATAAACATTTTGATTTATAAATGTTTATCTTAAGGGAAAGTTTCCTGAATACAGGCTCTCCCGCTTTCAATTCATTGGAATTTGTTGAGAGGTTTCAAGTTTAAAAAAAAGCTTATCAAGAGGAGTTCTTCAAAAACAAGTATGGAAAATCTTGGAAAAATCTTCAGTAGAAGTTATTGCATTGTTGCATGACCCTGCAGAGCTTTTATAGGTGTGAATATGCTCTCCCTTAAAATGTCCAAAGCAGTCTTTTCAAACCTAAATATGTTCATAAATGTTCCTGTCAGAAACTGTGGAGAAATTACCAATAAAAGGTTGTTGATCCTTGACAAGCAAACTGGAATGCTGAAAATCGGTTTGTTGTGTTGTGTCCTTTTTGCAGAATGGTTTTGGATTGTCATTTGCTCTCAAAGCCCAGTTAGATTCTCATTTATCCCCTTGATCCCATAATTGTGGAAAATGCATCTTTGCAGAAACTGCACCCAAAGCGTCCCAGATCCAACCTGAGCAGCAAAAGTGAGGTTTTTCACAGTGTTTCCTATCATTGGACCATCTTCTGACCGGCACGCTGTCTTTTCCTCTTGATGTTCCTCTTTAGCATTTGACATCAGAGAACGGTCGGTAAACGCAGCCTGAAGGAACTTTGTTCTTCCTCACCATCTCCAGAATATTTCATCCTCCACATTCAAAAGACGGCATATTAGTATTCCTTCCTGCATCTCCTCTCCTTCCTTGTCCCCCTTTCTATGTCCTCTGCTTTATTACCTCTTTAACTGGACGTCCGGCTCCATTTTCAAAGGACACTTCACACATCTGGATGTCCATGTCTTCGCCAGCCCCTCTTCTTCCTCTCTTCCTTCACACCATTCCTTCCCACTCCGGCTGTCCCTGTCTTTGTCCACGTCCAACTTCTGTCTCATTCTCACTACAGCCTTCTCTCTTTCTCTCTATTTCCCAGCAGTCTGTGTGCCCCTTGTTGCCCCCCTCCCCATTTGCCTCATCAATAACCAGGCTGTATGTGTGTGTGCGTGTGCATGTGTGTGTGTGTGTGCGTGAAGGCTGTGCATTAGGAAAATTGGATCTCTGCGACGCAGAGCTGTTTTACCAAAGTAATCACAGCTGATGGCAAGAGAGGGAGGGAGATGATCTGGCTGAAATTCTGCTGCGGCTGAAGTATGGCCGTCTGCGGCACGAGCACACTCTCACTGTCACCATCATTCAAGTGGACATAAAAGCCAGAGGAGCCACTCAGCCAGGTCAACTTTTGAACTCAATTATAGTATGAACCTCCAGACAGTCCAATTCAATAAGACTGTTTGGCTCAAAGTACAATACAGCGTACAGTGAGTTGGAAAAAATCTGGTGGGTTATCAATACAAGCAATCAAATATTAACCACTGTTCAATCAAGAGATTAATTCAGACTTGAACTTTGCATCAACTTGTAGCTGTGGCGTTTCTTCTGCAGAAAGTTTGAGAAAATGTTGCTGGCTGGATACATTTCTTGAAATATTCATAAACAAATGTTGTAATAAGGGTGATGGGGTGAGACAGGAAGACTGCACTAAATATACAGCCAAAGCAGTGAAAGTCCAGGCTTTATCACAATATGGATGTGTGCCAAGACTTGAGAATTACTGTTAACAAATGTTCTCCATCCAATCAGTGAGCATGAACTATTTTACAAAGAAGCAGCAAAATAACTGAAATGTGTAGAGCTGGTTTAGCCATAAACCTAAAAGACCCGCAGCTTAAAACGCAGAAATAGATTGTTGTGCAAAGTAATGACTCAGGCTAAATGTGTGTCACACTTTTCAGATTTTTATTCACAACAGTTTTGAAAATTATGTTGCAGTTTCCTTCTGTTCACAATGACAATTGAACATTTTTGTGTTAGTCCATCCATAAAATTCCAAAAATGCCTCAAAATGTGTAGTTGTAATGTGAAAAAAATCAACTTTTGCAAATCACTGTTCTTGCTTGTAGTCAATAATCAAAACTATTTAGCATAATAATGATTTGGTGTAAAATATAGCTTTCTTCAAACTCCAAACATACCTTAAAAATTGAATCAGTTCCAATTTATGAAAAAATTCAACTCTCCTAGTGCTTTGATCTTTTCTACGTAATTAATTTTTCTGTTTATTTCACTTTAAATTCCAGACTACTTTAAAGATAACATATTTATCAAAAGGTTGCACATTAGTAATTTATGCTGAGACAGTTATTTATTCAACCAGTGGTTAGTATGTTTCAATATTTAATGTGCTGCAGAAAGTGATGAAGACAGAGAGAGGCTTTTTATTAGGCTTAATGGTAGACTTCATGTCTGATTTATGAAGCATAGTTTCATGCAGTGCTTTTTTCCCGATCAAACTATTCCGACCAGCTTTTTGGCAACAACCCAATTCTTGGAAATGCAGATGATGCACATTTAATCCTTTAGTGGCCTTTCAAAGCTCATTCCAGATTTGGTAGTAAATTTGGATGGATCTACGTTCTAAAGTCTCCGATAAAACCACCTGGTGTGGACAAAACGTCTGCAGTGAGATTCATGTCTGAAACCAACCTTGGAAAGCAGCAGAATGAAATGATAAATGGAAAAATGCTTTTAAAGGTACAAATATGGACAATATCCAAAGTGTCAAAGAACAGAAGATTGTTAGCTGAACAATTTGTCCTTCCTCATTTCATTGCAACAACTATCGACACTCTGCTGTTTCAGTGCCAGCTGGTTTGTCTGATGACTAATTTCCAATCTCAGCTGAAAGCTTTGGCATCCACATGTCAACACAAATGAAAATTGACATCATATTCTTTGTAACAACCAATTGTGTGAAGGTGAAAATTGAATGCTTTCCTTTTCACTTTGAATATATTGCTCCACTGATTCACACAGAAGTATTTCCCTCACATTCAGTTCAGTTCATTTTTACTGTCGATTTTGCTTTTTCTCCAACAAAAGCCATCTTAAGATACTTTACAAAACAAAAAGGTTGAATTCATATCTGTTTCTCCTGAATATTACAGCATGAGTTGCCATTTGTACTTTCGAGAAAAAAGGGAAAAAATGTGAGTTGACAGCAGCAGCAGTCTTGTCAAATATTTTGTCCCAGAAAGAGATGCAGCGAAGGACACAAGCACTGAGTCAAGGGCATTTTCTATTAAAGACACAGAAAAAATACACTAAATCAATTGTGGCAATATCAGTGATTCATTTTTAAAACATTTCTTTACAAAACAACCATATGTGAGGAGAATCCCACTTGGAGAAAATATTAATAAATTAGAATGAACCAAATAAGTATTGGTTGCATTTGGATTTTTATTAAAATAGCACGATTATAAAGGGTTAAACCACATGATATTTCGGCTGACCTGAACAGTAGCAGCATGGATTAGCAGGCATTGAATCTATATAATATTCAGGTTTCCTTCCTGAATGGAATTAGTTGTCTAGTTTACTGAAATGCACCTGTATATTTATTTCAAGTGCTAAGTTTGCATTGTAAAGTTAATGTATATACTCCTCTTTGTGCTGTATAAATTACAAAAAGTTAAAGTGAGCTGCTTATCACACACAGCAGCTGTTTGTTTTGGTAACTGCAGTCGCACTTGAGACTTATAATCAGTCAGTTTTGGTCTCTATAGCACAGAAAAACTCTTCAACACAACTGCAGTAGTTTGAATCTAATTTCGTTTCATTGCTAGTTGTGCACTAACTAGTTCAGGACGTTAAGCTGCAGTGTTTTGGTCATAAATTTAGTGTTGTCCTATTTAAATTGGCTCCCATTTGTAAAACTAAAGATAGTTTATTGGGATGTTTTCTAGTAAAGAGAGACCTTTAAAAGTCAGCAGTAGGAAGTTTAATGAAAGGTCACATTAATTTCTGCCTCATGGTGAAACATAGGAGGAGATGTTTGGTTGGGTTCTGTTTTGCAGTGCATATTTTCTGAAAATAGATTGTAACACATGGGAGCAAATCAAAGGTAAGAAAAAGTAAATGTGTGTGAAAATGTATTTATTTTAGGAGAAAATTGTCTTCAGGTAAATAAATCACATAAAGAGTAAGTCATATCTTTATGTTTTGGTACAAATTGTGTAAATATTAAAATATTTGGGGCCTAAAACCATCTTAGTGCCGCCCTCTTTAGAACCACTGCACTCAAATTTTCCTATTTACAATGGAAATTACAGCCAATTTTATTTCAGCAACACAACAGCTTTTCAATCTAGATTTAAAGGAACTCAGTGCTTCAGTGGTTTTGCAGTTTTCTGGAAGTTTGCTCCAGGATTGTAGTTCATAGAAAGTGAATGCTGCTTCTCCGTGTTTGGTTCTGGTTGGGATGCAGAGGAGACCAGAACCAGAAGACCTGAGAGGTCTGGAAGGTTGATACAAATACAGACCTGTAATGTGTTTTGATCCTAAGCTGTTCAGTGATTTATAAATTAATATCAGTATTTTAAAGTCCATTCTCTGGGCTACAGAGAATGGACTCTAAAGTCCAGTGTAAAGACTGTCCATCACTGCACCCAGATTTTGGGCTTAATCTCTAGTTTCAAGCAGTAATAACTGAAGTTTTGTGCTGACTCTAGATCGTTCCTCTTTCCACCAATCTTACCTCAGCCAGGCTAAACCCCCTTCATTTGGCCACGTCCCTCAGTGTCTTGGCTCCACCCACTTTGGTGGAATTTTTCAAAAATTGTCCAATGGCTGGACTTTGCTTTCACAAGGAGATTAGTTCACTTCAGAGAACCTGACTGACAACATGATGTAGACTTAAAATGTAATGAAAATATTCGATGAGAAAGTGCTGAAAAACGCTACCAAGTGAACATGGTTAAAGTGAAAAAGATCTGTCTCACTTTAACCAAAAAACAAAACAAAAAACGATCCCAAAACTTCGGGGAAAATACAGTGTTAACCGACCGGATGAAACTAGTTTAATGACCTGTGGTTGTACACAGGTACACTCATCTAATCCAAATGACTGCAAAAGAAGGTGTGTGTCCAATTCGATCTGGTACAAAATAATACAATCACAGTTCCTGTCCAATTTCTGACCTTTCAACATGCAAGACAATACTCAGCTTTGATCTCAGTCCCCCGGTTTAGT